TCAGGAGATGAAAAGAAATCACTTACTTCTGTACACGAAGTGAAAGCATCTACCCCTGCACATGAAAAGAAGGCACCTGCCCCAACACATGAAAAGAAATCACTTACTTCTGTACACGAAGTGAAAGCATCTACCCCTGCACATGAAAAGAAATCACTTTCTTCGGTACAAGAGATGATGGCACCTACCCCTGTTTACGAAAAGACGGTATTCACTCCGGTACATCAAAAGAAGGCACCTACTCCTATACATGAAATGAAGGAACCTACTCCAGTATACAACAAGAATTCATTTACTTCTGTACATGAAGTGATGGCATCTACCCCAACACATGAAAAGAAATCACTTACTTCTGTACACGAAGAGGAGGCACCTACTTTGATGGACAAAAAGAAGACATTTACTTCGGTACAAGAAGAGGAGGCATCTGCCCCGGTACACGAAGAGGCATAATGAAAGGAAGTGATTTTCTCCCTTACACAAATAAAAAGAGAGCAACCGTCTCCCTCACTGTGTACACATTTCTATTTCTATGATTTACAGTAGCCCTGTTCTTTTTATTTTTGCCATATGTAATGTCTTTAGAGCAAAGGCAGAGTTGCAGTCTCTGAGCACATTTCTGATGTTATTTTTTTTTCGATATTCTAATATATATTTTTTACATTCCAATCGATGTTCATAAAATAGATGTTTATGCTTACAAATTCTTCATTATTTTCAAGAGTACTTTTTCGTTCCCATTGTGTAATTTGTCAGGAGAATATTGAAGAAAATGGAAACAAAAAATACACTCTTCATTACTGGGCAGAGTAGGAAAAGGACCTCCAAGAGAGGAACACCGAAGGGTTCTTCTCTTTTTTTGATGTTCAACCTGCTTTTTTATATGTTTTTGTCCTATACTTGTGATATTTTTTCCTTGACATCAAAACGTTTACCGTATGACTGTACACACCCGATATTTTATTTATTCTTGCCTTACCGAATAGTTTTCCATCTTAGTCTTATTTTTTTTATTTTTGTTTTTTTCTCAACCTCAAAATCAGACGATCCTGTGAGAGAGAAGAGGAGGGAGGGGGAAAGGGTTTACTTATGCCTGACACACTCCACCCTGAGCTAAAACGGGCCCTGGAGGGGTACCGTCAACGGCGCCACTTCAACGCCCTGGAGTGGGTTGCCGGCAAGACCACCGCGTTAAACTGCTACATGCGCGATCACGGACTGACGGTCTGTGTGACAAATGTGTCAGGGGGGGTTGACTCGGCCGTGGTGCTGGCGCTTTGCGCGCGCGCGATGGGATGTGCGGGGAGCCCTATTGTGAAGAACGTGGGGGTTTGCCAGCCTAACCAAAGCAGTGATTGGGCATTGACCCGAGGAATGGAGAACATCGCGGCTTGTCAGGCCACGGCAGTCATGGTCGACCAGACCCATCTCCACACGGCGCTTTCGGGACTCGTCGAGGACGCGGTGGGGATCCGGGCGAAGGACTTCGCGTCGGGCCAATTGAGATGCTATATGCGCACCCCGACGATTTATTACATCAGTCAACTCTTCAGCCAGGAAGGTACTCCTGCAATTGTGATGGGCACCGGCAACAAAGACGAGGATTTTTATTTAGGCTATTTTTGCAAGGCCGGTGACGGCGTCGTAGACTTGCAATTGATTTCAGATCTTCACAAGAGCGAGGTGTATTTAGTGGCGGAGGCCCTGGGGGTGCCGGAGAGCACTCGGCTTGCGCCCGCCTCCGCCGACCTCTGGGAGGGTCACACTGATGAAGATGAGCTAGGCTTTCCGTACGACTTTGTGGAGCTTTTTACGGGTTGGTATATCGAACAAAATGAGACGACCAAGATTGATTTCATCGAAGGTCTTAGCTATGAGGCTCGTTGTCAATTCAAAGCTTATGCAAAGGCTTGTGAGGATGTGCATCGACGTAATGCGCATAAGCTAAGCGGATTAGTTTCTTTATAGGAATAATATATATATATATGTACTTATACATATATAATCAAGATACGTTACCATTCTTTTTTTTGAAATTAACATAGAGGGAAGGCCAAACTCAAGCTCTACATTTAGGGTTGCGATTTTAGTTGTATTTCAAAATTTGGTCAGCGTGGACGAGGTCCCAGAAATATTTTCGATCATCTCTTCTTTATTCATGCAAGAATCAAGATCCATATTTTTGTGACGAAGTAGCAATTCCTTTATTATTTTTCTATTCTTTCCCCTTGATGATACTTAATAAACGAGGTTGTATTTTTTTAACCTCTTTATAGATGATCTCAAATGGGTTCCCTCTTTGGAAATGCTGACACTTAAGTGTCAAAAAATACATCAAGAAATGAATATCTAGATGAAGCTAAGTGTTTTATTGAGTATAAATTTGAGTTTCGGGTAAGGTTATAAATCCTATTTTAACGTTTGATTTTTAAGTGGGTTACCACAGCTATACAAACACAACAACTAATCTTTTATTAACATTGCTATTATTAGTGGATTTCTTCATGTAATATACTACCTTTTGTTCAATCATAATACAAGGTCAAGAAGCAAATTTATAGCCTGTGAGGTAAGACAATCACACAGCCCGCAAACAAATCAATCGAAATACTGAGATAAGCTTCTTCAAGGAGATAAATCAAATTAGTATTAGACTACCATTTAGATTTTTTATTTTCTAACTGAAAGCTATTTCCTTTTCCTTTTAGACATTATCATTATTCATAAGGAAAGAGTCTGGAAATCTAAGCATGAAGGTGTGTGAGACTTTTGGTAGTTCATGTACCCACAGCATGATCTCAGATACAAACTCCATCGAAAGAGGTGGTCTGCACTACAGAGGTGATGAGTTCACTAACGACTCATTGACGAAAACGAGCGCATCTGTAGTTAAATGCTTAATGGGGGCTATTACAAAGAGCCGGGGGACCATATCTTCCCCAGTCATCTCATGTCCCTTCACTAAGGGAATTTCGGAAAATATACGCGCCACGGAGCAGGATAGCATTGAAGATTCCCCACGTAATGATCATCCTCAGCTAAGTACAGTGACCGCTCTCATGAGCGATGAGGACTATTCGGATGTCATGCCTGTAAATTCCTCTGAAAGCTCGTCAAGCAAGCTTTGCACGTCGAATATGTTTATCCCTCATCCTGGGGAGGTGGAGTTTCTGCCTTATGATGAAACGGTCGCACTCGACGATGCGACTTTCTCAGTTTGCGCTTCTTTATCCGACGGTAGCATTGTGTTCGATTCTACAAACACTTCATTGGTGTCTTCAAAAAGGAATCAATGCATAGCTAGAGACATAAGCACACCTAAGACCTCCATGTTCTTAGTGGAGGAAGTCGCGAAAAGCTTCGAGACATCTCTCAATTGCAGCGACGACGCTTCTCATAAAGCCAACCGCGAATCGCTTAATTTCACTTGCCGAAGTAAAAATCCCCCTCAGAAGTGTTTTCAAATGCCGTATTATGATAACTCTGTTACTCATTCTACGGATGAAAATACTTGCAAGCTTAGAGATACCTTTAAGGCCACTATTTCGTCTTCGAATGGGGATAATGTAATTAAGAACACACAGCACACCAAATCGGCAGACTGTTGTGTGGGTTGTGTTGCGAATGAGCAGGAAGATGAGCGTGAGTCAATCGTATCGATTTGCGTTTCCGCACCAACGACTGTCAACCAGAGTCTTTCCACCATTCAAGTATCCGATATGGGTATGACAAAGCCTATTAAGCGATATACCTCTGGTGAGGCCAAACAAGGAACTCGGCGCTGGATTTCAGCCCAAAAAACCGCATTAGGGCAGCTGAGAGCTGAGATGGCCAAAGACCAAATTAAATCATCCCCACCGTTTCCTTTTGACGTCGTCAAACCGGGTCATTACCAACAGAGGGGAAGTAAAAAAGATGGGAGCGTTTTGAGACAAACGAATGGAATGCCCCACTTCAAGGGCGTAGAGGATCAGTATGAAACCCCCCCTAAAAAAAAGAATTACGAAGAAGGCTTGACTCTCCCACATTCAATTAATTTGAGCAATGATCGGACTACGCCTTCACCGCTGAAAGACGTCGCGACGGGCGCACTGCAGGCCTCTCCCTACAACTTCAGCAGTATCAGCCACATCAGCATGGATGGTGCTATTCACGATGCGCTCTCAATGTTTGTCGACTCTCCTGATCACTTTCTCAAGGATAATGCCATACTTCATGAAGAGGTTAAGGGGGGGAAGCTTTTCTCGTGGGGTAAACCTCCTGGGGAGTTGCCAAATACCACTCTTAATTCCGAATCCTGGCGTCTTAATAGCGATGGTGGTAATTGGAAGGGGGTAGAGGGTTCGCCGAAAAGGGCTTCCCACGTAAACATTTCATCACGCTCGGCTCAGCTGCCGTGCACTACCAACACCTCCTCGAGGGAGGTGCAGCCGTCTCGCCGCGAAAAACTACAACGAGAGCAATACCAAAGGAAGATGGCGGAATGTACCTTTCATCCAATCATATCTCCAGGCTCGCAGGCCATCATAAAAGTCTCGGCGTCTGCCGCGCAGCGGTCGACGCCCCAACTCACCTCCGCCTTGGACGAAGAGAATGGGCCGCTATCGTCCGTGTATGAGCGTCTCTATCCCGTTCATCTTTTAGCTGAAGCCGCAAGTCGGCGCCAAAGTGAAGAGGAAGCCACACATCGCCAGGAAATTGAAAAGGAGCTTTTTCTACTTCGCCAGAGGTGCGGTGCGTCTTATAACCCCAAACCGCATCCTTACTCCACGTCTAGTCCTTACTCCAATCGACAGGGACGATTTGAGGACTTTGCTGGATTTCTTAGTAATATTTTTCATAGTCGTTTGGGGTTGTTGCCGCCTCGTAACTTGTTTGCGCCTGATAATAACCACGTGGTATTTGTGGAGAGTGATTACCGCTCTCCGATGGCGATTGCCATCGAGGAAGAAGAAGCCAGCCGAAGTCAGTGTGGTAAAAACCTGTCAGGGACGACAAAGAAACTTAATTTTAACTCTTCAACCTTTTCATCCTTTTTAAGTGGTAAATATTCTTCCATGGAGGACACGGTTTGCCAACAGCATCATTCTTGTGATAGTACTGCCGAACGCTTTTCGGAGTTTCTGGATCGCCAAAACATGCACCATGTACGCCATAAGCGTACCGTGAGTATGTTGGAGAAAGAAATAACTCCACATTTCACACCACAAACTAATCTTAAGAGTTCGAAGTTGATGGCGGATATGATTAATCGATCTTCTCTTCCGAATTCATCTGGAATGGATAAATTGGAATGGATTAAACGTTGCCAGGCGAATCACATCCCGGTGGGCAGCGTGTTGGTTTCGAAATCCACCGTCTTGTGTGTGGATCCGTGCTCCTTTTCCCCGCGATTATCACCTGCAGTGAATGCCGGGAAATGTCAGGAGCGGAGTCGTCAAAACGAGTCCTCTGTGAATCCGCAGGCCACTTTTCAAAGGCTTTATGAGTCTCACCATCTGCAGCTTCAGGCCCGGGCGGCTGCTCGGAAACGCGCGGAGGAGGCAATCATCGCTCAATTCCCGTTTAAGCCGGCCCTCAATACTCACAAAAACGCTCGAGTAAGCTCGTTATTGAAGCCTAATGGCTATAAACAATATCACGAGTATTTAAAAGAAAGACAGAAGGTCCAACTCAGGCTGAAGGAGGAAATGGAGGCTAAAGAAAGAGACCGAGAGCTTGGTCCATGCACTTTTAAGCCACAGGTCAACAAGAAGCCAGCGTATCTTTCCAAGATGGTGTCAAGCTTCCGTCTTGTGCGACAGCTTGAATTAGACTTTTAGAAAATACCATTTAAGAAAGGACTATGGAAAAATATCATCGATTATAGATCATATAGAGCACGATATCAAATATGCATATACTATAGATAAAGCATTCATTTAGAAAATCTCTATTGACTCAGAGGACTCATAAAATCGACTGAGTAAATGAATTTTATTTCTTTCCGTACCGTTTGGGGGGTATCCATTTGAGTAGAATCATTGCTCTGTCGTAGTGAAAACAAAATTTAATACTCTTTCGCTTCACTAAATTTCAAAAATAGAAATTAACGCAAATATATGTTTTACCTTTCGCTTGCCTAATTATCAACATAATCGTTGTTCCTTTTCATTGTGAAAGAAAACTACAGCGAGTGATAACTGATGTTATTGCTACTATCAGAAAGATATTTTAGCGTATTAATTTTTTCTTCAACCTATTTTTTTTCTTAACAACCATTCTTAATAGGTCATTAAAAAAGGGTTTTGTTCTTTATCTCTTACTCGCACAAGTATCGTTTTATTTATCTATATTTATCTGTATATGATTGCTTTTTTTTTGTAATTTTATATTCTATTTGACAAAATGGAGAGCAAAAGAGCCACAATAAAGGGACGTTTGAGTACTCCGTTGCCGGAGCTACCATCTTCAGAAATATCACAACAAGACTGCCTGGTTCATTTCTCACGTACCTCAAGTGAAGTTCACTTAGACTGTACAGTGAAGTCTCTATTTAGTAGTGATAGTAGTAGTAGTAGTCAGGTGCACTTTCCTTCAGTAGAAATAGCAGGTAGCGATAACGATTCAGTGTTTCCTAAAGACAATGATAAGTATTTCTTTTCTTCAAATCAGATTTCCCGCGCATCGAGCGTGCCTTTAAGTAGACCATTTGGTTTCTACCATGATCCGGACGATGAGGTCAACAAGGCGACCTCCTCTATGGACCGGAGCTCACCAACCCAGGTTTCCCTTTCCCTGGAGGGCACACAGCGCATTAAAATAACCCAGAATTCCTCACCGAATAAAAAACTGAATTCGGTATCAATTGCACCGAGGGTGGCGCCCTCTTCACAAGACATACAAGCTGTCCTTCAGTTTGACCCATGTGAGGATATGCTCGAGAATATTAATAGGTGTGAATGGAAGCTATACCACACTGTGAGAGAGAGCACAGAAACTTTTAGGTGCAATCAGCACCTTAATTATCCTCTAGAGAACCTGTCTTCAGTTTCTCATCAGGGTGAGGAAGAGGAATGTACCAAAACTCAGGCACTGCCCGTTAGTCCCACTGGTGACTGCGCTTTTCGTGTGGGCGACTCTAATAAAGATCCATTTTCACAGCTACCCAGAGCTAACTCGCTTGATTTGGCGGGGATTAGTGGAGTTCAGGATAATAGCATACCAAACCGTGATTTCACAGAGCCTGTCTTTCCCCCGGATATGGATTTCCCGGAAGATTTTTTTCCTGGCGAGGATACTATAGCGGAAGATGAGGTTATAAGCCCTTTTGATATTTGGGAGCCAGATCCACCATCTGTGTCTACGCTTACAATGACTGTTTTGCACGATCCTGCGAATGATATGCCAGCTTTGGGTGTGTGTTTAGGAGACTTCAACGGGCAAATTGAATATTTTGAGTTACTTCTTACCTCATTTTGCGATAAGGATGAACCACCAAGTAATCCCAACACTCACAACAGCTATGAGTTCTGCCGAAGCGGCCACACCAGCATGCCGCATTCTGCGAATAACTCGGACGTCAGTAGCACGGCCAATTTTGTAGACTCCGACGGGTCTTTAAGCAATATACCAAACATCTGGGGGTATAATGTGGCTCGACGACATCGGCATAGGGCCTACATCAAATCCATTAACGCCCTGACATCGGTCGCGGTCGAACCGTACGTAAAATGTCTCGTCTTTGTCAACCCACTGAGTTCGCCGAATAGGATAACCTACCTCACCGCGAACGACCGGGTGATCAAGCTCTTCCAGGTTCGTCGTGAGGGCATCAGCATGCTCCATGCGTTTCCTTATATGAATACGGTTCTGGGTGAACCCTTTTTAGGTTCACAGTACTTTGTAGGAACTCATAGGCAAGTGAATATACTGCCCATCAAGGAGTACGGGCCTATGGCAAACAGTATTCAGGCCTTGAGCCTCTCAGCGGACTGCGAAACATTCATGAGTGTTGAGGATTTGCAGGTTTTTTGGTGCCACTTTGAGGCCTCGGACTCGACGAAGCCGACCTGCATTGTCGATCTTTGTCCCCGTTCCGGCGTGCTGGACGAGATGGAGGAGCTCATCACGGCGTCGTGTTTTCACCCCACCCACGGCAGCCTTTTTTTGCTCAGTCGCAGCTCTGGGATCCTCAACGTCGGAGACCTCCGGCACCCGCCTTCCCGTGAGACTCGACAATACGCCCTTACAACCAAAATCACCCCCCAACAGAACCCCACCCGCTGCATGACCTACGACGAGATCCTCTGTAGCATATCCGCGGCGGCCTTTCTGAGCCCAGACCACATCGTCACTCGGGATTACCTGAGCTTGAAGCTGTGGGACCTGCGCAAGATCAGCACCCCCTGTGAGATGGTCCCTGTGATGGACTATGTGTCGCCTTATTTCGACGCGCTCTACAACCATGACTCCATTTTCGACCGCTTCCCGGTGTCCGTCGATGACAGGTCGGGGACCGTCGTGACGGGGCTCTACGATGGCGCCGTGGCGGTCTGGCAGCCTCTTTCTACCGCGCAAAATTCAACGGAGACGATAATGCATTATCGCGCCGATCCTTTTCTCTGGCCCACTTCTACGGCTTTCTCCGGGAGGATCAGCTCGAAGGTGTTGGGGGAAAATTTAGCATCGGCGTGGAAGCAGTCCTCCAGGCGGCCTGCCGAGGCCGAACTGCACAGCATTTCCAGCAATGATGTATTTAGCGGGTCGGAAGGGGGTCTAGACCTGATACCGGAACCGTTTACCAATAAGGTATTGAGCATCGCTTTATCACCCGGTGGAGAACGCTTCGCATATACGTCTAAAAATGGCCGAGTTATTTACATGTTTGAGCGCATAGGGAAGACAAGCTGTAAAAGATAATAAAAAGCTTCAAGGCGATTGGATTGCTTGACTTCCTCTTTGCCTACAAGTGAAAATTGAATCATCACCTAAATCATACCTTTTCCACTGAAAGGGATAAGAAAAAATAGTGGGAAAAAGATGTTATGAGGCATTTTTTCCCTCTTTTTTAACATTGTGCTTTCATTGTTATCTATTTTATTTTATAGATTATTCACTATCCATTCAGTTATGTAAATTCAAAATACAACGCACTCCATTTTTATACGGTTATCACATAACTATTTAAGTTTAAATGGATAAATTTCGAAAGGTGTAGTAAATTACCTATCGGTTAAATTGTCCATTTACTTTTAAGGATTTATATTAACTTCTCAAATATGGTTTCGATCAAGATGAAGTAGATGTATTTTTAAAGTAAATGCCAACTCATATATATTTATTTATTGATTTATTTATTGTGGTAAAGTGACGCACTGGTTTGCGCGTGGGAGGCATTCAAGTTGCTTTAAACCTATCGCAGCTTGCTATAACACTTTAATGGCATTTATCATTATTTCACTTTGTGTACATATATATTATATTGCAACTTATTAGCACTAGTTATTTTTTTTCCTCTTTAATAATACCTTTTAGGAAAGAAGGGAATGTGTCGCGTAAACGTTTCGAAGTCTGTTTTAGTAACTTCCTTCTTTCCATATACATTAATCTTTGTGCATGTTATTTTCTATATTATTTTCAAGTGCAAAATGTCTGCGTTCCATTTTCTTTTCATTACTTCAATAACTGCAATAAAATGCAATAAGTAGCACCTATTTTTTTTTCCGTGACAAGAAAGGTAATAAATATCATAGAAAACTAAGTGCATTTGTACCGATGTTTCTGGAGGGTGCAGATCTCTTTGACGGATTGCGTGTTCTTCCTAGAGAGTCAGAGCAACTGAGGCACCATTTAAGTCGTATCAACCACACATTACAGACACAGTACCATATACCTGTAGAACTCGCGGAATTTGTTCTTCAGCCTGATCGTTCAGCTGATTTTAATCGTTTATATGGAAAAGAAATTCAGCGTATTGTATCTCATCTCAGCGATATCCGTACCACCTGCTACCCTATGGCAGTTCAGGCAGATCCAGATAAGTTGCCCGAGGGAGCTGTGATTACATATATCCAAGATGAAAAAAAAAAATAACTGAATCTAATGGATTGGTTGAAGCTAATTACAGTAATCCTAACTTAGATAGTTTACCTACATCGGTCGATGATCTTGCGCAATTCACATCTTTGCTAGAAAAGAAGGAAATTACGACTTGCCGAAATTTGGCGGATAAAGTGAGGCAACCAATACAGCTTGCATCTGCAGCAGTAGATCCTGCAACTCCTGCTGGTGTACTTCGAACGGGATCGAATATTGAAGATGCCTTTTCTACTACTGGTGGTCTTATTGATTCGACCGCGCGACCACCAAAAGATGCTAGTTGTTTGTTTAGTACACCGCCTGAGTTCAAAGGATTTAGCGGCGCCAAAGCATATACGCCCTCTGCGTCCTACACGTGTTCACCCTGATATTTTTATTCAAAACGACGTAGACCTTTTCATCCAAGTTCGAAAAAATATATGTGTGCGCACAATATAGAGGGCATTTAAAGCATTGACAAAAAGAAGCGTTTTAAAAAATGCAGAAGAAAATGTCTGCTTTTTTTTACATCTAGACTTAAATTAATACAGATTTTAAAAATCTTTCCATACACATCTACGCATTTATTACATTTTTTAACCGAACGTTATTATTATTACCGTTCAAAGTTGTATATGTAAGGATTTTTTTGCAAACAGTTATTTTCATATATTCGACTTTTATCAAAAAAGCCAATCTGCTTGAATTAATTCTGCAGAGCCTGAAAATGAAAATTATATTTGAGGAAGTTGTGGAGCAATTTTTATACCCCCTTTCAAAATAAAAGCAAGTAACATATTTGAAAGACTCTACATAGATTCATCCATACAATCTTGACATTTATTACATAGAAACCCCCCTAATAAGTATGGCCCTTTTACTTGATGACGATGAGGAATGCATACCACTATATAAGGTAAGAAAAACGGAGGACCAATTACAGACCAAGGATTTTAGTAGCTCTGCGCTACCTTGTTGTGATTCCGCTACAGCGGTCCTATTTAATGTAAAGGGTGGTAACGGAATCCAGAAGATGGAGCTTCTCATGTATGGCTCACCCACTGTACTCCCCACATCTGATAAGGCAGCAAATTTAGGTCCATCGGATTTATTTTTTCGTACCACAAGTTTGAAAAGTGCGTGTGCTGATAGTTCAAGTGTTTCTAATAAGAGCAATAGCGCGTGCTTGAAATCAAATTATCATGAAAACGAAGATTTAATGAACCCCAATGGCCGAACAGAAACCAGTGAATTCTTATCGATGGATGCTACTGATGTTGGCGATCACAACAATTCAAGAAGTGTCAGTAAGTACAGTAACAATGACACCATTAAAAAAAAAAACATCTCCCATTCTACGACGGTGACGTCTGTGACACCGACCGGTGGAAGTGCATTCGGTAACGTGTTTCAAGAGTCCACTGCATCTCCAGACAGTGTCAGCGCAGATAAATTAGAAAGTCATGTTGAGCGCTCGTTAGATGGTGAGTTGGAGGTACAAAGCTATATTCAGAATCCTTGTCCGGTTTCTGAGTCTTCTCCTCCGATATGTGCAAATGAAAGGTCAACGCCAGTGACACCATCGTTTGTATCCCAAGTCAGTTCTTGCAGTGTTTCCGACAGGAAATCTACAGGAAAGCAGCAGTTAAAATTGTCAGATTTCTTTTCTAAAATGGCGTGTAAGAAAAAATACTAAAATCATTTCATTTATATTGCATTCTTTATTCTTCTAAAAGGAGATATTAAAAAGTGCTGATCATTATTCAGACACACCATAGATCTCTACAGAACATTCAGTTTACATCAACAATTGCGTGGTCTGTAACCACTCTTCTTCTTTCGTTCATAAATGGAGTGATATGCTTTGTATATTGTTAGCGCTTTTCTGCCGAAAAAGCTAATGCCTTGACTTGTTTCCACGGCTGCGATTTCCTAATTTCCCTTGACTCTTCCCGACACTTGTTTATTTATTCAATCTTTTCTCCGCTTCGTTCTTGACCAGAGTTCACTCCCCACTTTAGACGATAGTTTTAAGTTCTAACGCGGGGTGTGTTTGACACAGCATTTGTGTGTTTTATTGAATTGAAAGCGGTGTGACAGCATACAGCCGTTCGCTTGTTTGCATTTTTCAACACATTTTTTCCGCCGGATGAAAAGTGACATGCCGCGCAGTCCACACCCTGCAGGGCTTGCCACCGGATTTTTGGACAACGCGGGAGCTTGGACTGGTGGGGACTTGGCAGATCCAGGTGCCGCTGGTGTCCAACACTCTATGTCTACAGGTCCTCAAAGCTCAAACCCCCGCACGCGTGAACCCGATCGCGTCCACGGGGTGTCCTTGCCCACATCGCCGAATGCATATTGTCCTCGGCGGGCTACGAGAAAGCGGAGCGTGCTGATCACGGGCGGCGGGCCAGCGTACCAGGCCCATGCCGACCGTACCCTTTCTAAGCCTCTGGTAGATGCGGGTCTGGTACAGTTGACTAGCGCCGGTGAGCGCGACCTTAGTGATAAAGACCGAGCCCTCCATTCTCCGTGCACGGGTCTAGCAAGCAGCTCTTTTGCTGATACGATGGGGCCCAAAGTGAAGATGAACCTCAGCTTCTCACTTCCAGGGTTGCGAAAGAACGCTGTGGAGTCGCGCGGCATCTCGGACGATCCGATTGATAATTACAAATTCTTTATTGGTAGCCACGAGCACGCGGCGATCCATGGCATGCACCCCAGCCTCGGCAACTTCGTTCCGCAACTTACTAGGCATCACTCTGAGAAGGTCACAGCGGATGAGCCCGCCTGTGGTACCGCGGTGGGCCGTTCGAACAGTGCCATCGACAACACCGATTCGCTGTCCGGGATCGGAAAGGACCCCGCAACCCCTATTCCATCGTTCTCTTCCTGTAATAGTCGATGCAACCTTAACGATGACTCTGTGGGGTTTGCAGCGTTGACGAATACTGTCAGGTCGTCTGTTTTCTACCATAATATTCTATTTGCTTTACGCGTCACAGCTATCTCAACAATTCCGGCCTACGTTCTCCTTACGCATCCCTACACATCGAATTTCTTTGCAATTGGGATGCTTATTCCGCTTTTTTCGCTTGTCTTTACAAAACCAACCCTTGGAACGCAATGCCAAACAATGGTGTCATGTTTTCAGACGTCGGTAGTGTCTTCTATTTGGAGTGTCACTATGAATGCCATTGGTATCATACATCATCCGATCTCTTGGTGGTTTGCTGTTTTTTCTATTCTTCTGCTTCTGTACTTACTGGGGGATCTACCTGCTAAACGTTCTATTATCCCACAAATACTGCTAAATATGCAGATGGAGCATTTATCCGGGGGAGACGAAGTTATGTTCTCCGTGAAATATATGCGTGATTTTTGGATAGCTTGTGCTTTCTCGTTTATAGCAGCCCTCTTGCCGTACCCTATTTTGTCCCGGAGCGAATGTGCAGAGGCAATGATGCGGTTGCATAAGCTCTACGGTGCCGCGGTTGGGAACGCGATGAAGAGCTACTGGGCATCGGTTAGAATCGACGGCAGATCTGCATTGATGCAAATGCCGTTTACCAAAATCGATATCCTGACATCTAAAATACAGGCACTCATCAATGAAATTCAGTACGAGATAAGCGAGTTTGGTCTCGATAACACATTTCGCGAGGAACGTCTGAATGCCCTGAGACGCATCCAGATACATCTGCACTCCATGGTGGCAGCAGCCTCGCATCGTCTGGAAGGTAGGGAACGGCCCTATATTACGAACGATGTGAATGAATTTGAGAACCGTGTTCGACCTCCCGCGATGGATCTTTCGAATGAAGTGATAAGTATTCTTGTAGTTATGGGTAACTACATACGGCCCTTGGACTTGGTCTCCAAGATCGACTATACTAGTCTCTCCAACAAGACTTGCATTCTTGTCGACATCATTGAGCGGGAGCAGGCTCAAATGCTCTTCCTAAAGCGCTCTTCAGACGCTGTGGTGGCGCGCGAGGAGACGAACTCCTACTTACACACGTTGTCTTTTCTCAGTTGTTTGGTGAACATATCCACCGAGATTCAGATGATGGAGACTGAAGGCCGCAATTTTGATGTGTCTAAATACCCCACGGTGTGGAGGCGTGCTTTCAATTTCTTTCTCGCTGACATGTGGAATGACTTCTGGAGCGAACTACCCAAGCGATTAACACTGGCCACACCACGCGATGTACGCATTTGGAAGGATAGCTTCAGGTATGCGATTGCCTTTACTG